CCTCATGTCCAAATGTGAGACCATTTCCTCAAAAATGGTCAAGCAGGTCACTGAGGTGATGGAGAAGGGTACAGGGACCATGAAACAGCCCCACATACTCAACAGCCAGTGAGTAAAATGCACATATTGTTAAACTAGAAAATAATTAAAAAAAAAATAAAATGTAATTATTTTATGCTCAGTTGTGTTTAAAAGTCATGGCGGTCTCTGCAGATGTTCATGTAATTGCCTTAATGATTCTTGGGTCAAGTAGTTGTTCACCAGTGTTGGTGATAGGTGTCAGCTTTGCTTCCATTCTCAACATGTATAGTCAAATGTACACAGATGTGTTGAAATAAGTTTAAGAGAGAGCCCGTCTTTCCACGAAATGTGTGTACAAAGTCATAGAATCAAACAGTGATAATCCACCAAGTGATCAAATGGATTTGAAAGAGATGCGCTCACAGTCGGGGGGACACGTTGAAAGCCAGACCGTTTGCTCAGTTGTATGGCGTGACTAACTAACGCACAAAGCAAACAAAACGTTTATGAAAAACCTTGTAGCCTTGTAACCGAGCCCTGAGCACAAACATGTCAAGCTTGAGAGGAGATGTCAATCCAGATGCTATCCCCACTGGGTATAGGTTGATAATTTTTCCTTCAAGGCAGCCTCAAGCATTTGCAGGAAGAGTTAGATTCTTGCAAACACTTTCTTTCTTTTTAGCAACTCTGTTACTTTCTGTTTCATAGGATAAACCGTTAATCAAATGTGCCGTTGTCACGGACTGTAGGTAGCAAACAAACTGCCACACATTCACACTAACGTCACACATTCGCTCATTCTCCATTCCACTATGTTCGTATGCAGAGTAGGTGATCCTCATTAACAGTGCAGTTGATGGTCACGAGTGCACACTTGGTGTCTGTGTTTGCATGCTTCTCTGATCTAAACTGGAGTCCAGACAGCTGTTACTATTACTATTGTCAAAGGGTGCATTCAGATGACCAGATTAGAGATGTTATATTTCTGTGTAAAACTAAACTTTACAGCAGATTATAGTGTATTCTTTCAAAATATAAAAAATATATATATTATTTTTCTACATAAGGGTGGTGGATAGAGTCAGAGAAGGTACTGTAACATGCACTGATTTACACTTGACTATTAAAACAATTACAACACTGTTTTTTTACATAAACAAAAACAGATCTACACTTTGGGAGGTCTACAAAAAAGTGTCATCCATCACTTTATCTACAAATACAACTGTGGTATGCCTTTCTAAATATCTTTCTGAGAGGGTGAACGTAGAACCTTGTGACAGTTTCATTGATGTTACGAGGGTGACAATGGTTTTGCATTTTGGTTTCTGTAAATTATGTGTTAGGACCTATTTGTGACTTACAGTTTGTGTTTTCATAAAAATGAGGGCTCCAATTCATGTCCTCATCTGTTATTGATTGTCTTTCAGATTCCAGCTGAAACCCTATCAGCTGATTGGTCTAAAGTGGCTGCTGCTTCTGCATGAGCACAAACTGAGCGGTATCCTCGCTGATGAAATGGTAAGGCACCCAGACTGCGGCCTACGGGAAGTAACAGAGAGCACTACTAACACTTGTGAGGTGTCGATCACGCGCCCAAAGTCAAAAATGAACCAAAGATGCTGCACATAAATATTTAATAAGCCGAGCAGGAGAGCATGCGCTTACAGCTTGTTTAACTCCGAGCTTTAGTGCTGTTAAAGTGTGTCAGGATGTTTGCTGTTTGTGATATGAAACACAGGTGTTCAAATATCTTCTTTGTCTGTCCACCTGGCTCTTTATTTATCTCTTTGTGTTTGTCTGACTCTGTATCTCTCTCCCTCTTTCTCCTCTCTCTCTCAGGGTTTGGGGAAAACCATCCAGGCTATAGCGTTTCTGTCTGAGCTATATCAGAATGGAATAGAAGGTCCTCACCTCATCACTGTGCCATCCTCCACACTGGGTAATGATTCATAAAATGTAATCAAACCACAACACTTAAATAATTATTCAGCATAGCAGCGTATAGTGTTGTTTGTCCATGTTTACATTTGACATTCGCTGTTACATTTGAAAAGCCCTTTGTGGGGACGAAAATAACTTTATCATTATTTATCAGTGATTTATGCTGATTTCATTCTCTCCATCTTGCAGACAACTGGGTCAGAGAGCTGAAGCTGTGGAGTCCAAGCCTCAAAGTTCTAGTCTATTACGGTAAGACTCATGAATCTTTTCATGTTCTCTTCCTTATGGGATACGTACAATTGATCTGACAACCTTAAGTGTGCACTGTGATCAAACGTGCACAGAGACAGCTGAAGAGAACTGTCTTAGCCCATGTTCAGACCAACAACAGCACTGTAGCAAAACCCAGCAAGAAGCTGCATTGTTATGGTGTACAGGTAGAAGATGGAACACAAACGGAAAGTCCAGTTTAAATGTGTTTATTTCATTCATTCATTGTTGGTGTGATGGAAATATTTGAAGATGAATCGCTCGCATTTCAGAAGACTTGGATGGCTTACACATCAGAATTCTTTTCTTCTTTGAAGCACAGTGCAGTGCCAACCCAATTCTGAAGGCTGTGCATACATGAAAGATATTTAACCTAAACTGTATTCCCTAGAGAACCTTCCCATATCTTATTTCTGAACACATGTGTGAGGATCCTATTAGTTATTGGTTTAAAACATGTTCTAAGCTCACCTAACTTATCCTTAATCATGTCACCCAGAGTCACACAAAATGCATGAAGGAGACATTCTGTCTGTTAGATTTGTCTTAACCTTGGGCTTCTATAACAGAGTGAAATTATGATACGCTGAGTGCTCAGGATTCAACCTTATCAGCTGCTCTTCATAGTCTAGTCAGCCAAACAGTCAGAGAGGAAGTACAGAGTTTTACCAGGAAGAGGCACAGGCTGTGACCTTTGTAGATGACCTTACAGTGGCGTGGGGAGCACTATATCACTTCAGTCTAATGTAAAGAAGGAACATTCCTTCACAGTAGGAACCCACAGTGACACAGTGAATCCCTTTTCAATGAATGATTGCATTTCGATCTGTACAGGGCCTTTTTCTGGATCTTTCCAAAGTTTCCCACCATTTAGAAATGTACTGTGTGCCCTTATGTTCTGAACAGGATCTATAGAGGACCGCCGCTACCTCAGACACGACATCCTCAATGAAGATGTTGAGTTCAACGTCATTGTGACCACGTAAGGAAACACACACACACACACACACCCATCATCACATTTGACAGGTTATTACAGTTACGGTGCTACTGGAACTAAAGCAATGCTCCAAGCACCTTGTCACTCAGTTAAACACAAAGTGAATGAGTCATTTTGTTTTCTTCTGTTTTGCTTGTGTTTGACGTGTTTGACTTGTTTTACAGGTACAACTTGGCCATAGGAAACGATAATGACCGCAGCCTTTTCCGTAAGCTGCGTCTGAAGTATGCCGTTTTTGATGAAGGTCACATGCTGAAGAACATGAACTCTCTGCGCTACCGTCATCTGATGGCTATTAACGTTAGTTTGCTGACATTTTGTAATGTACTTTCTATCACTGTCATCCCCTAATGTCTGGTGTATCTTCATACACATCAGAATTCTTTATCTTTCTATCCTTTACATCTAGAACTATTGCACATAACAGTTGACAATGTCTGTTTGTCTCTCTCTCTGTAGGCAGAGCATCGCTTATTGCTGACAGGAACTCCTTTACAAAACAACCTATTAGAGCTGATGTCTCTCCTGAACTTCATCATGCCCTCTATGTTCTCTAGCTCCACTACACAGCTCTCCAAAATGTTTTCTATGGTAAGTGTGTGTTACATTGTTAGCTCAGTTTGTTTGGACAGATGGTACCAAAGAACTGCATGCACACCACTTAAAACTGCAAATCTGTCCTCTTGCTTTGTATCTTCTGTCCTGGTATATCAGGTATTCTGATATAAAAGCTTGGATTTGAAATTCAGATTACAGCAACACTCCTGGTACTCAGTGGTGCCCACCACTGTCTAATGAAAGTATTTGTTTTATAAGAATTAAAACAAGAGAAATGTAAACGATATAACCAGCAAAGAAAAATCATATTTTTTTATTTATTTATTCAAATTATTAATTAATTTATTAAATGTTGTGTGTCAGAAATCCCACGAGGAGCAAAGCCTCTTTGAGAGGGAGCGTATTTCTCAGGCCAAACTCATCATGAAACCTTTTATCCTCCGAAGAGTCAAGAGCGAGGTGAGTTGATCTGGCAAAGTTACTCATTTGTAACGTGTAAACATTATGTATGTGTAAAGTGTGTTTTGTAGGGAAATCTGGCATAAAATGATCTATCAGATTGACATTTTCAGTCCCTGTTGTAATTGGTTGCCCTGCATCGACCTATATTACAAACTGTGATTGTAATAGGATCCAGTGAACATTTTCATTCAAGCAGAAGAATCAAGTCTTCAATATTAAATATATTAAATATAAAAATGTATGTATGTATTCTGCTATTTGTATTCATTGCGTCATAAGGAGAGTAATCATAGTTAAAACCTTTGTAAGTATTGTGAATAACTAATGGTCTTTCCTTTTTCCAGGTCCTCAAGCAGCTGCCAGCCAAGGAAGAGAAGGTAGAGTCCTGCTCAATGAGTGAGAAACAGCAGGTTCTCTACCAGAACCTCTTAAAAAAACTCAAGAAGTCCACCAATGGCGAGAGTAAGCCTGATTTACTGCGTGGATCATGCTATTATTTTGTTCAAATAACAGGAATTACTGTGTGGTTAATAATTCCCCTCATGCCTTTTCTCTGCAGAACGCGAGTTGTGTAATGTGATGATGCAGTTGAGGAAGATGGCCAACCACCCTCTGCTTCATAGGCAGTACTACACCACAGAAAAGCTCAAAGCCATGAGCAAACTCATGCTCAAGGTCAGTCTGACTCCCTGACCAGCTGTTTGTCTTTGTCTCTGTGTTTTTTATCAAGAATCTTTCTCTGAGTTGTGCTGTGAGGCTTAGCTGTTAGTTTAACATTAGTTCTTCATGGCTCCTGCAACTTGATTGGATGCTGTCAGATGGGAATAAATAGCGTTAACGTTTAATTGATTCAGGAAATGAACTTATTTATGCCGCACTTTTCAAATACTTTTTAAACTTACATTTGTTTGTTATTCCACACTAATGTCCCTTCTTTAATTCTTCCCACTGTAACATGTTTGTGCTGTTTCTCTCCCTCCACAGGAGCCAACTCACTTTGATGCAGACGCTGCTCTGATTCAGGAGGACATGGAAGTGATGTCAGACTTTGAGCTGCATCGTCTCTGCCAGCAGTACTCCTCCATCAGCTCCTACCAGCTTGAAACCAATCTCCTACTTGACTCTGGGAAGTTCCACCACCTCACAGAGCTGCTGGCCTCAATTAAAAACAAGGTATGTACAAATGTGCAAAGCGTGGTACATGCAGGACACAGATGTCTGCCATGTAGCATAAGTTTTTCTCTTTAATCCTACAGGGAGACAGAGTTGTATTATTCAGTCAGTTCACCATGATGCTGGACATTGTGGAAGTGCTGCTGAAACATCTTCAGCATCGTTACGTCAGGCTGGATGGATCCACGCCCATAGCTGAGAGGTCAGAGTGGCACAGTACATTGATGTCAGAATCATGAAGCATTTAATGTTATTAATTCAAAGTCATCTAATGCAAACAACTTATTTTTTCTTATTATACTGCATCCTTTGCAGCGGGGCTATTTAATGAGTATATTGCTATTTTGATGCTGAAATGATTCAACAATGCTAGCACACCTTTTATTCTAGCTGTTAATTGAGGATTTGAAAAAAATGATGCTATTAAATTGATGGAAATGGAAGCAATGTTCGGTATTCAACTTCATCAACGTGTTATAAATTGGGTCATGTAATGTCTAAAATGATATCCTTGTCCTGCAGGATTGTGTTGATCGATGAGTTCAACACGGATCCTGACATATTTGTGTTCCTGTTATCAACGCGTGCTGGTGGCCTGGGCATCAACCTTACCTCCGCTAATGTTGTCATCCTGCATGACATCGACTGTAATCCCTACAATGACAAACAGGCAGAGGACAGATGTCACCGTGTAGGCCAGACCAAGTAAGATGGAATCTGTAGATAATACACCTTGCCGGATGAGTTTTGAGTCTTATAATTGGATTTCCACCCTTATTATGTGAGCAGTTTGACAGAAAGCATTTGTTTTGTGTGCATGCAGATTCTGATGTGATTAATTAGGTATTGATTGCAGTTACAGGACCTCCTCAGGTGAAAATGTTCCCCTTAAGAACTGTGCTCAATGTATTGATTGACTGTAGTGGCTAATAGAGCTCGCTGTTTGTCAGGACTGTACAGGTGATTAAGCTGATCAGTAAGGACAGCATAGAGGACTGCATACTGCAGCTGGGCCAGAAAAAACTAAAGCTGGAGCAGGACATGACCGCTGCTGAACGGGGTAAGGAGATGTCTTCACATGCATACACTTACATACACACATCTCTGTAATAAATACATTACATTTAATTTTACTATGCAACCTAAATAATTAAAACAAGAAATATTGATTATTTCTTTAGGTAGTGCCTGAGGTATAGCAGTGCATTTTTTTCCTGGCAATCTTGTCTTTGTGTTTTTTTTGAGTTACCCCTCACATAATCGCCTTTTGCAAGACTTTAACAAATCAATGACAAGGAGTTCATCAGTAAGGAAAGAGGTCAGATTAATTCCAGCACTGCTCTGCTACATCCTGAACCCTGCAGAGAGAGCAGTAATTAAATATTTACCCTAAACAAGTATTAGTTGTTGAAAGTCTCATAAATAGTTTATCTAAAAGCTAAAAGTATAGAGAAATGTAATATTGAAGATAGTTGATCAAGCAGTTCAACTCGTACATACAGTAAGAACATCTTTGTAAAATTCCTGGGTTAAATAATATCAGGAGTACACAAGAAAGGGGAGATGCTAAATTACAATGTGGAGAAACAATTTACAGTTTTAGATAAATGATAACTAACTTCTGAATTACTTACAAATTTAAAGAAATGTTAATTTGTTCTTTAGGTGGTGAGGGGACCATACCTGAAGATATGGCATCTTTGCTCAAAGCCTCACTGGGACTGTGATACACAAACACATGAAACTTGAGACTGCACAAATATGTTTTTGATGGCATACCTGTGATTCTGGGCAGACTTGAGTGTTTCGACTGAACACGCACTTATGTGTCTATACTGGAAAACTACTGAGAACCATACGCTGCCATGAAAGAAGTTCTGACATTGAGATCTGATTTACTGTGTAGCATGGTAGCTGTGCCTAAAACACTATTTTTACATGCACACAGTTTTTGAGACCATCTTGAGACCATGATATGCAATGGTCCCAAGCTTTAGAAACTTGAAAGAAAAAGGTGTTGCGCAGTTTATACCACACCATCAGGAATGCAGCATGTGTTGGAGTGCACCATCGAATGTTAAGTTCACATAACCCATGCAGTTATTATTCACATTCAAAAATGTATTGTATGCCGGTAAGGGACATTATGCTTACTGGCGGTCATTGATGGATTAAATATTCGCAATCTAGTAGGGAAATTGTGCTTACAGACCCAAAGAGGTGGTGCACACACATTTCTTTTTCTTTTTTTGCCATACTTCATGCAGTGTTAATTTTGTCAGTTTGTATTTCCAATGAGTTAACATCAAAACGTTTTAGCTGCTGTGATTCACAGCAACATTAAAAACTATACTTATAATGATGGTATTCACATTCATTTTGCCAAGTATCTGGAAAATTGTACTCTGTCACTGTAAGTGTAATGTGTTTAGTTATATTTTAAGGCAATTTTTTGGCAATGGCAGACTGATTGGCCTTTTTTGACTGAAGATAAATGGTTGTGTGAGTGTATTCAATGCATTTCATACATAAACACTCCATATTTTCTAGTGTGTAAAACTAGAAAAATAAAAATATAAAATAGAATGTCTTTAATAAATATGGTGCTTGAATTGATTTCTTCTACTCCTTTAATATCTTAAGTCAAGCGATTTGAGGAAGTAGCTGCTGCATTCGTGTACTGTATAAGTGGCTAATGTGTTGTGAGTGTACAAGTGTTACTGTAAAAGCTTTTATGAAGTCATTTGTATGTTTTTAAGGTTCCTGTTTGAAATTAATAATAAAAATTGGAATAAATGCTTGTGTGGCCATGCCTACAGCGATTCGGCAGGGGGAGCTGCCAGTGAGAAAGTGATCTAAATTGTTTTCCAATGGGGTATGAATTATGTATGTGCTTCCAAACTGCTGGCAGCAAAAGACTTGCACTTTCCTAACGCGAGGTTTGGCAACAACATGGTCTGTAATATACTTTTTGAAATGGGTTTTAACTTTTTGTCCACGTAAGAAATATGTAAGATTGTCCCTTTTGTTAACTAAGATCATATAAAAAATGATTCAGATTTCACCAAACATCTTGATTTTCAAAAGAGGTCTAAAAATAATGTAAAATTGAATTTGCAAAAAAAACTACAAACGTAAATGTTAAAGGTGTATTTCAATTTAGAGACTGGAAGATATGAAATTAATTACACTTGATCTAATTGTTCTGAAAGAACCAATGTATATAGCATACAAAAGCCACTTCAGCAAAGTGAGTAAGTTTGACAGGGAGTCAATAGGGAGTGTGTGTGTGTGTGTAGCCCTTATGGCTGCTTTACTGATATATGTCAGTGCATCAGACTTAAAGCAGCCCAGGGTGGCATACAACAGTTAATGTCCCAGTTCAAAATCCCTTTATTTTGGTATATACAATGGATATATAGCTAATGCTGAGACATTACAAGACATTTAAAAAAAAACTGAACAGTTTTACAGCCACCATAGTTTCTCCAACACCCTTGACAGGGCAAGGGAAATAACACAATAAAAAAAATGTATCAAGAAAATACTAAAATCTAACACATAATGTAATCTAATACTCTACTCTGCATTGGGGGAGTATCGTCCACACCTGAAGCCCGTCAAGTGAGCGTCACATTTGATAGTGTAGGTGAAGTAGAGAACTCCTTTGCTCAGCTGACAGCTTAGAGAGCGAGTTCCCCGCTCAGGAAAGACGATGCATTTGCCTGCTACATCATTATAAAGCACATCTCTATCCCACACCTCAAACCTCAACTCCTGACCCAGTTCCACTGATCCAAAGTCATACGTGGCGTTCCAAACTGGGTCATTGTCGTCCATCACCGTCTCCGTCTCCTCGTACATGCCGTTGTAGAAGATCTTCACGTAGGCGTCTGTTTTCGTGAAAGTGTCTGCCCTCAGACCAGCAGCTCTGTGGATCACCAGTCTGAGAGTTCCTCTGCCAGCCCGTAGGGGACAGCAGTGATGGTCCAGGTTGGGAGCCGGGGAGCAGTTCTTAAAACCAAACCCGTCTTCCTTCAGCTGGTTCTCTTTAATATACTCTGTGACAATGCTTCTCAGATTAGCACTGGTCTGTGAGTCCTCCACCAGATTATGCAGGGGGAAGATGGCGTAAGAGACCACATCAGGGTTGTCATGGAGGCTGCTCATCCAGCTGTGGTACGCTTCCGATGGGTCCTGCTGGTAGAGGATGTCGGGGAAGTACTTCTCCCCCCCTGTTACCTCAATCTTATGGGTCATGAAGCCATGGTAGAAGCCCATGCTCATGTTACCCTTCCGGAGGTTGTCACACTTATTGGAGAAGGATGCATTGGCGGGGAGGAAACCGAGAGCCATTCGGAGTTCAGCATTGAGGCAGTTTTTGACCTCGGACTCGGTAAAGCCCTTCAGTGTGGCCAGGCAGGTCCTGAAGGCAGTGATTCGCCTCACCTTACCACCAAGTTGGACCTAGGAGGCAAACAAGTAATTAGAAAGAGGCTAATTTGTAACAAGGTTCATCCCCCCCCTCCCCATCTTCAGCATTAAAATCTGCTGTAATCAAAAAAGAGAGTGCACTGTATCAGCCACCTGACCTGGTGTATGTAGTGTGTTCCATAGGTGTCTATCAGCCGTCTATATAGGGCTCTGTCCTGGCTTGTGTTTAAGCTCTGTGGGAGTCTCTTTAGATGCTTCGTGAACTCTGCACTCAGCTGGGGATGATCAGCCAGCCTGTAGCTGAAAGAAACAACAGGCATGTGGAGTTCGACCATAACACAGTGAGAGTATAATATTGACTCTTATGGAACCAACAATAAACAGTTGAGTTCACCCTTAGGTGTCACCTCAAGCTGTCCTAACTTTGCAAAAAAAAAAGTTTCTTGCATACCATTTATTCCTAAATTAAGCCTTTCCTTAAATGACCCTCTTACTTTTCTCACTAAGAAACACCTGCAAGTCATCATCTAAGTTATCATTTTAATCTATTTTAAACTGTAACCAATATATGCTAACGATACATTTACCTTTTACATGTAGGAAAATAACTATGAGCTAGGATCTGCAGACAAAAATGACTGTTATTAATGTTAAAATGTTAATGTTAATTTTGCCATACTTATCTAAACCATATGTAACAAAACCAAAATTCCTCGCATTCTCTTCTGTGGTTATAGATGAAACGATACTTAGTTTTATTCAGTCGCCTCATCATAAGAACATACTTTTGGTGCTGAATATCAATCTGACTAATTTGATAATCCCAGTAATGCCACATCAACCATTGGCACCATTTCTACCACCCCCCTCTCTTTTACCTGTAGTACGTGCAACTGATTTCATGGATGGCAAAAGTGGCCTTGTCCACGCTGTGCTGTGAACGGGCAAACTTTGCCAAGTCTGAGCGGCTTCCTCCCAGCACTGCCTTGCCAATATTGTCTAAACTCAAACCCAGGTCCCAGTTGTTGTTAACCAGGGAGCTGGAGCTGCGCAGCAAGGACTCCACAGAGTGGTGGAGGGCGCTAGACAGCTGCTTGCTGCAGCGGCTGAAGGGACGCCAGTCGAGCACTGCGGCTGGGAGCCTCTGAATCTGAGGAGGAGAGAAAATGCAGGATGTAGAGTGGGATACAGGTGGGCGGAAAAAATAGTCACAGGAAACGTTGAATAGAACGGATAGTAGAAAAACACCAGGCAGGAGCAAGAGAGAGAAAAAGTTGTTTAGATGGAATGAAGTGAAGAGAATTTAGTCTGATGGAAGACACCGTGGAAAAGGGTTTTCACCTGTCCTTGCTGGAAGCGGTTTGGACACAGTGTGCAGGTGTGGTTATCAGCCAGATGACCTTTGACATTGATGACATATGCCCCTGTTCGACGCATCCGCACCACATCAAAACCCTCCCCTGCCAGGTTGTGGCCTGGGACGAAAGGGGCTTTCTCACACTCTGACCCTGAGCCAATCCGACAGCTGTGGACCCGGCAGACCTCCAACGTGAACAGTAAAGCCAACATAAACCGGACAAAGTTGCTCCATCGGCCTCTTCCAGCTTGCATGGTTACCTAAATGTAAAAACACACAGAGGGGTGAGAATGTGGTCAGTAAAGCCTGTTTGAATGACTACTTCTTTGCTATGAAATACTCCCTTTAACATGAAACGAGTGTCTGATATGAAGCCCACTGTAGGCGGTTACATTATTTGTCTTATAGTTAAAACAAACAACCACAGGTTTACCGGTGAGCAGACTGCAGGGTTGTTGCTGGTAGCAAACGATCTAATAATTGAAGATGAATTATGTCTGTTACACAGTATATGCAGATAAGCTTCTAATCCTCTCTGCTTTAAAAACTAGAATAATCCTGCCACAGATGTTGTGTCAGCTCCAAAAACGTGCACAGCTGACAGACACAGGATGAAACACTTACCTTGGACTGTATGTTATTTATCGTCCTTCAGATTGGGTCCTCGTCTGCTTTCAGGAGTTGTTAGTCTGTAGCTTTCTTTTGCCTACTAAAATTCCTGCCCAGATTTTACCAGCCAGGAAAAACACATTTGTTGTGCCTCTCTCTCTTTGCTAACTCCATCGATGACACAGCTCACTGTAGACGATGAACTGCAAACGGAAACCCTTGATCCTGCTGGAAATGAAATCACGGCTGAGAGGGCTTTGGTTTCGCTGGCGAGCTGCGCTGAGAGCCTGCTGGGTGCACTCTTTTGTCTGTCCTCCGCCTTATGAAAAAGACCAAGGAGGGAGTTCCTCTGCTTCAGGGCTGTGTGTCTGTCTCTCTATCCCTCTCTCTCTC